CATATCTTTAGCCACTTTTACCGACGTATGTATCAAAATATTAAATTGTGTTTCTCATATCTCGTACATGGCTCTAATTTTATATTCCAGATCATAAAGACAACTGTAGGATACTTGAACATGTTGCAAAAAGTTACTTAAGTTATCATATTTTTTAAAATAGTCAAATATCTGTTAAAATATCAATAATAGTCATTCTTGTCCACTTGTAAACTTTTGAAATCGGTAAAAATTTTTTTTGAAAGATATGAAGTATTATATTATATTAGTAAGATTTTTACATAAAAATTTCCTTGTAAACAGCATACACAATCTGTAATTTTTTTTTCTTTTAATTTTGTGCTTAATTTTATTCATAACACTGATAAAATATGTCTTCCAAATCACGTTCATTTAAAAAGTCAAAGTTTTTATATTAAGTATAGAATAATACTATTTTATATTTTTAAAAATATAATTTTAAAAATCGATGTTATTGTCCCCGTTTTACGTAGAATTTTAATAATTGAAACACAAGAGTTCCCCTTTACTTACTATCACGGTAATAACTGTTCGTAACCCGTGTAAACTTTATGGACAGTGAAAAACGTCTGGTAGAAACTACAAATCATTTCAAACTCGAAGTCGTCAGATTTTCAAACACTTTTCAATTCAATTCTCCCTGAAAATAACACACAATTCGATTTCTTCGAACATTATCATAACAAGTATCATTTCTTCAACGATCAAAGATATCAACAGTATATCAGTATATCAAAAGAAAAAAAAATTCTATTCTACTCTACATAATATCGTTTATTCATCGAAAAACCCATGCTCTTTGAGGAAAGTTCAAACAGGTAATTTCGTCCAATTTTCTTTTATCCTTTTGTAAAAATTCAAAACCCTATTCCACAATCCCCACATGTAAAAAAAAATTAAAATCGTTTCACGGTAACAATTCGACGGTTGAATTCGCGGATATTTAAATTTTTAAACACGCAAGCGCAATGAAGTCTCGGAAATCATCGCCGTTTCCAGTTACGATACGCAGTGGAGTTGCGTTCAACCTATCATCCGTTCGACCGATCATTAAAAAAAATGTCACGAATAGGGAACGCGGAAGATGGCATGAGACACACCATATGGTTCGCGAATATGCTTCTGGGAAAGTTAGGCGCATGGCCGAATCGCGCCACATCTTCCACGTTTTCGAGAACTCGGAATTACATTTTAATTTTTATGTGTTATTCGGTGCAACTAGTTATATTGATACCAGGCATTCTGCATTTTTTTTTGAAGGAGAAAGACAGCAGGAAAAAAGTGAAGATATTGATACCGTTGATAAACGGTTATCTGCAATTGTGCAGATACTCGTTGGTATTACGATCGGCGAACAAGTTATGTTTCTTGTTAAAGGAGATGAAGAAAGATTGGATGAACATCTCGGAAGAGGAGCAATTGATATTTCGTAGCAAAGCGAGTATCGGGCACAGGCTGATGTCAGTGGTAGCGATCATTATGTACAGTGCAGGTTTGGGTTATCGAACATTTATTCCTCTTTCGAAAGGTAGAATACTTTTGCCGGATAATACGACTATAAGATTGCTACCGTGTCCCGGTTATTACATATTTTTTAATGAACAAATTACTCCGAATTACGAGATAGTTTTCACATTGCAAGTCATCGGTGGACTACTTAGCTATACAATTATGTGCGGTACGACCAGTATGTGCGCCATGCTTTGCTTGCATGCGACCAGTTTACTGCGTATTTTAGTGAAAAAGATAAACGAGCTTACGAAGCAGTCGGATGTTAACGAGAGTGCTGTGCATATGAAAATCACGGATATTGTTCGTTATCAAACCAAGATCAAACAGTGAGTGAAAACGAAAAAAGAAAAATTGATATTTTAATATAGCTTAAAAGATTATGTGTAATTGGAAGTTAATTTTAGATTTTTAAATGATGTTGAACACATTACCACATATCTTTTTCTGCTCGAGATCATTGATGAAACAGGCATAGGATGCGTGATTGGATACTGTGCTATCAGGGTATGAATGAAAGCTTCTTTTAAAGATTTCTTTCTCTTCTTTCTTAAATGATCCGTAACACGTTACTGGTAATGTTTCAGGAATGGGAAGATAGCGATGCCACAGCTGCGATAATCTATCTTTTGTTAGAAGCATCTGTATTTGGCGTCACTTTCACGATGTGTTACGTTGGTCAAATTCTCATTGATGAAGTATATGTGTTTTGTTACATTTTGCATACTTTTATGACAAGTGTCACATGTTTAAACTTCATTCAGGGAAATAATGTAAGAAGAATGTCCATCACGATAAATTGGTACCGGTTTCCTGCGAAAGAAGCACGGAATTTAATATTAGTGATTATTATGTCATCTTATCCAGTAAAACTCACAGCA